ATCAGTGAAGAACCACACCAAGCGCAACTGCTAACAAACATGGCATGTGATTATGCATATATGGAAGGCTACCAATTACAACCTATGAAAAGTGTAGTCCTCAACATAACCAACAGGAACCGTAAACAGGACCCCGTAACAACAACCTTTACCATGGGCCCCACGAAATGCCATCGGTGAAGAGTGCCACACACTTAGGAAACATCAGAACCACGTCACTAAAAGAAAACATGACTGCTAAGTACGTGATAGAAAAAAAAAGCAAGGCGAAGCGCATATATCCTACTTGGAGGAGGATTTCATGGTCATAACGGATTAAATGTAGAGACAATGGTGCATCTATAGAAAATATATGTATCTCCAGCATTTCTCTATGGATTAGAGCTAGTATTACCAACAACAAGCTCACTAACATTAATCGAAAACTTCCAAATAAAGCTACTTAAACAAATACTCTCGTTACCAACTTGTGTAGCAGATATATCTAACAACATCCTAACCGGAATACTACCAATAGAAGCTTACAACATATCCGAGCACTTGGACTATTCAACAACTACTGTAATCAGCCCGAAGAAAGCATAGAAAAATCGCTAGCAAGACGACAACTTACATTGAAAAATAGCCCAAGTTCTAGTTGGTTTGTCGCTATAAAACATATGCTCAGGAAGTACGATCTACAAGAGCCGGGCTGCATGGTACCTGAACAACCCAGTCAAAAAATCCTTATGGACCTCCAACATCAAGAAAACAATACATAACTACTGGAGTAAAACAATTGTGCAACTGCTGCCACCATATAAAGGACTGGGCCATCTCACAACGGGAAACCTGGAAAAAGAAAAAAGTCATCCCCTGTTCAAAATTAACTGCCATTCCGCTATAGATACGGCAAGACTACCGGTTAAACTTAAGCTGCTAACTGGATCTTATATTCTACAGAGCAAACGAATAAAAATGCACAAGGACGAAACCGATCCGAAATGCCTAATTATGCTCAAAGGATTATGAAACTGTGACAACTCCGAAATAGAAGGAATACCATACTTCTAGAAATAGTTGATGTACTAAACAGTTACTGTATTGGAATTCAATTAAATGAACTATTGGACAATAAAACGTTACAAATAATTTTGGATATCACAACGGTAGCAACATTAAGAAAACTCTCTCCAGTCAGTGCAACAAAAGTAGAACGCCTAACTAGACGCTTGATATATACATATAGCCCGTTACAAAATTGTATGCGGATGAATGATAATGACTTAAAAGGGAAAATTAACCACTTCATTAATAGAAGAAACAACATCTTTGCCACAAAACTTCTTAATTCTCCTATACTAGTCAACTTAAAAAGGTGAAAAATAAGTAACCTATTTTACTATATACATACTAGTGGTGACATTTTAATACAGTGTGCGAGCTTATCTCATAAATATTTTAAAATATATATAACCAACAGTATTGAGGGGACTGATGGGTTATTTTCGTTCTTCGTGATCGGCGCATTTTCGCTATCGTGATCCGTTTTTCTACAGATTTTTTTTTATATTTTCGTGATCCGTGATCATGGAAATTTATTTTCTGTGAATCGTGATTGACAAAAAAATCAACTCGTGAATTGTGATGATATATATGACTTTTATAAAATATTTTAAAATATAGCTTCTAAATCACGAGTAAAATGCACTCATTCTTTTACTAATTTACTGTGATATGAAAACAAATGATCTTATGGAATAATGTTGTTGATACATTATAGAAATGCGTTATACTTTTAAAATATACTTAGCCACGAAACGGTTAGGAGAACCGAAACCAAATGTGATACATGTGTATGTAACGAAAGAAAGGAATTGTATAGGGACTTTTTAATTATCGTACGATAAGTACCGGAACTTTTTAATCATAAAACAAAGGATTTTTAATATAGGTGTGTGTGGGTAGGATTTCACTGCATATACAGAGAAATCCATGACAACTCGCCCCTCTGCCAATTCGCCCCATTTTTTCACCAACTCGACCCACTTTCTAAACAATCGCCCCACTCTTGTTTACCAACTCGCCCCACTTTCAAAATAGGCCCGTTAAATTTACTACTGGCAACTCGCCCCACTAATGAATACAAGAATGAAACTGTACTGAATTAAGGCCTACCAATTCGCCTCACTTATGAATTAAATGAATACTGATGAAAACCTTAGAAATGCAACTTGTTTTTTCAACTCTTAAAGTTTTAGAAAAGCATCTTGGTTTTTTTTTAACGCTTAAAGTTTTCTTTTGGTTGAAATAAAGCAGAAAGAAGTTATTTCTGTGATGTACGATGTTATTTTCTTTGCAATTATTTTTGCAAATAAGTAAGTTTGCAAGAATAAAGTTATTCTCCAATAAATACTACAATTACCGAATAATAATTTATCAATTTTATTTTAAGAAATGAAGTATCATTTAATTTCAATCATAATCATATATTAGATTTTCGATTTTTATAATTATCACAAGTTATTATTTTTTATTCTGTGTAGATAAGTTTTCATAAGTGGGGCGAATTGGCAGATCTTTATTATATATTCATCAGGATTTTACCCTTTTTCGAGTTGCGAGTTGACAGGAGTTAATTTAACGGGATTTAACACCTCTTTCATAAACGGGGCGTTTTTTAGAAAGTGGAGCGATTTGTCTTGCTTCCATATATAGAGCACTACAACATATTCATAACTTGTGGAGGCATCACTGTACATAGATTAATGCAGATCACAAGTGATATATACAAATGTATGGTTCCTCTACAAAGGGGGTTAAAGATACAGAGGTAATGTGAGGTAAGGTAAGGTTACCAGAAACGGCCGATAATTTTGTTTCATTAAAAACTTCCTGTTGCAAATTTCGGTTTTCGCATTTCTTCTAATAATATTTAACCAAAATAATTAAGTCCACATATTCTGCTGCTCTATGATGACAACATAATCTTCCGAGAATAAAGATTGATTACAGAAAAGGCATGAAATAATCGAGTTAAGAGTAATAAGCGGTGTCGAAGAATGAAAATCGCTGTATGTCCTAAATTTAATGTCAAGAAATTTGGACTGAATAATATCCAAAGCGCAAAAATAGTGGAACACATTGGTACAAAAACATGAGTGGAATAAAGGAATTGAAGCAAGCACCAGGAACTTGTGCGATTAATGATCATATAGTGTGTACAAAAAGTCGGCCAAAGTCCACAATGTATTATAGAAAGCCCTTAGTTTAACATCAAGGCTGTCGTTTTATGTTGACAAACAGCAAACACCCCATGTCCCCAGCCCTTCAATGGAGTCATTAAACAACTTCTACTTCTTGGTTTAGTTCATGTTTTACATTGTTATTATATTTGCACCTTGCCTAAGAATCTTAAAATCATCAACCCTAGTATTTTCAACACAGCTTGAGTTTTCATTTCACCCTGTACTCATAATACATGTCTTTCAAATCAATGCATATGCTTAATTTTATAGGCACTACAAACCATAGCTTAGAAAGCAAAATACATTTAATGTAGGTAGTCTAAAAGAGAGTATTTCTCAACGTTTTTGCAATTTACTGAAAATATTTTTGATTTATGTGATCACTCCGGATTTTAAGATGGTACAAAATTCTATGTTTAAGACATGTCATGAAAATAAATATTTGTTTCTATGACTTAACGAAACTTTATACACCATTTTAATCATCAACTGCCAACTTTTAATATGTTATTTGTCCTTAAATTAAGAAAAGGTTGGTCGAACAACTTCTTTATTTTAGATATACACTTGCATATATAGTTCCTTTGTAAATCAAAATTTATATTAAATTGTCATTTATTGATTAATGTGGAAAATTTGATTTATCAAACTTATGCAGTTGATAAGAATAAAGAAAGTGTTTTATCAGAATCTTATGTTCCTGTAAGCCATTGAATAATAAAATTTGGATTTTAGACCAATACAATTTGATTCAAGATGTGTATTGATATCAGAGTTGATTCCCACACTTTTTTTTAAATGCTATTATCCCCATTCTTGCATTAGGCAAATGAGATTGTTGATACAATACCAGTATGATGGACAGCTGCAACGATTTTCAAACAAATTACATGTAAAAATAAATAATGGTGGGTCGGAGATACAACATTTACACCAAGATGTCACTGGAAACTTTTATTGTGATAACCGAGAGTGCTGCGCCACAGGTACGCGAGGACAGGATATCCTTCAGGTTGCACTATGTGGGGTCACCCATATACCTATTTAACTTGTTTGGTTTTAACCTGGAACGTGTGTTGAAAGTACTGACGCAATTTGGGATAAATTGCCAGTCGACTGATTTTACACATAGACTGTCTCAAAGTATCTAACACGTACATAAAAAGTGAAAACAATTTAAAACAAATCAAGAAGGGGGCACCCAGAAGTGTATCATTTACGCTGGTTCACTTATATTGAATCCGGCCGTCGACTGATATTACAAAAAGAATCTTAATGCTGTTAACACGTACATACAATTTAAAACAAAATATATATAAAACAAATTACCTGGGAAGTATCCAAACAAAGGGGCACCAGAAGGTATCATGTGCGGTGTCTCATTACTATTGAATGAAAACGAGATGCTTGTGTGCAATGATTGGGGAAACATGTATATTAAAACATTTATTGATAATTCCTTTTCATTGAAGCCAAGAAAACTTTGACGACAAATTTCTTTGTAAAATGAGTGTCCGGCTCAGCAGATGTAAAAATTGTTTACGCACTACAATTAAACATTATGAAGCTTCAAACCAAACATAAAACCATTCCCTTTCATAGAAGCCAAGAAAAGTTTGACGAAAGTTTTCTACCCGCAGTTATCCGGGCGGACGGATGTACGGACTGACGGAGTCGAGTGGTTACTATATATAAGACATGTATGCGTTCGCTTTTGGCGACGCAAGTTAACTTGCAATATGAAAAAGAAACAAAGTTAAATAAAAATATTTATTAAAAATTAATTATAACATCGTTTTTCTGTCCTTTTAACCATGACAGAGATCTGAAGAATGCAAGGATTCTTGATCCAAATTTTTTCTTCTTTCCTGCTTTGTTTTCATTGACTTCCTCATTATCATTTTCCCTTTTGATATCGACAAATTCCATTTCGATTTGTTTATCTTGTTCCTTGTTTATCTCTTTATCGTTGTGCGCCTTCTTATCTTTGGTTTTCTTTAACTCTTTTTTTGTTTCTCTTATCTTTTTCTCTTTTTGTCCTTCTTTGTCAGTATCTGTGGGGTTCATGATTTTCTTTATTTCATCTTTATTCTTATTTGTTTCTTTTCTCTTCATTTCTGTAAATGTTAAATATAAAGCATGTTGACTTCTATCACTTTATCATATAATCATGGTAAAATTTATACTTTTACTAAATAAGAAATTTGTAGGTAACCGCTGACCAAGTATCAGTAGGAAACAGACAACCTAAGTACTTCGAGCACAGTAAATTCGGTGTGCTTGACTCAGATTAACTATTACTAGGTAGATACCATTATTGCAGAACTATAATTGGTCTTTACGGTGTATCATATATCCAGCAAATACACTACGTTTAAAAAACTTTCAATGCGCATTATGATATTTCAGATGATCCCGTGTAATTCGCGTAAATACCTTTTTCTAATTTCTTTTTCTGTTTTCTCTCGATCTTTGTCACTTGTTTTCTCCTCTTGAGCTCTTTTTCACACTGTATCTTAACATCTTTGGTATGTCTTTTTAACATCTTTTCAACTGTTTGGAAATGCATTTTAATCATCTTCTTATCTTCTTTAGCTTTTTCTTCTCTCTTTTTCTCTTCCTTCTTTTTTTCTCTTTTTGTCTTCCTTTTCTTGTTGTTATCGTCTTGTTCTCCAAGTACCCTCTCCACTTCAGAATTCTGGACTGGAATCTACAATTAGAAATTAACCTAATATTTTATACGTTAAATGGAACTATTTTTTTTTCAGGCTAATATAATTCTTATTAACGAATATTCCTACTATGTATAAATAGATGTAAATATGAACACAAAAGTACCGGTGAGTTTATATGTGACAGCAGCAAAAACATCTTGGTTTGTAAAAATGTTCCATCTAGAGGCTAGTAGGCGGTCTTCAACCATTGACATGAGCCAAAACCTAGAAGGCGGTCTTCAACCATTGACATGAGCCAAAACCTAGTAGATGGTCTTCAACCATTGACATGAGCCAACACCTAGTAGACGGTCTTCAACCATTGACATGAGCCAACACCTAGTAGACGGTCTTCAACCATTGACATGAGCCAACACCTAGTAGACGGTCTTCAACCATTGACATGAGCCAAAACCTAGTAGACGGTCTTCAATCATTGACATGAGCCAAAACCATATATTAAGTTTGAAGTTTAGAATAAACCCAACAAAGGCAAGTGAATTTGCTGAAAATGCACACAGCACAGTTTTCATGTTTGAACAACAACGACAAGATATATTAGATATTGCTTTAGAAATATGTATTAGTTTCAAAAATCTCGATAGAGGAAGCAGGTTTATTTGGCTTCTGTCATGTGAACACGAAGAAATATTCAACACTGTTGATTTGATGCTATACATGTTTTACACTAAGAAAAACACTGCTGTAGTTAACTCCATATTATCATAAGCATTATTATTTTTGTCCTTGTCTGTTTGCAATCAATATATGTAACCGTGTTGCCCTTTATTGGCCGATGATTGGTTTAATAATGTGTACGTATTTGTATTTGCTTGTACCTGACGATCTCCAGTCCATGACTATAGAAAAGTTTTAAAACGAATCATCTTCCAAAAATAAAATTTAAAAAAACGCTAGGAAGAGTCGCTGACATTATTTTTTAGACCCTTGTTTCCAGTAATTTGATAGCATGTATAATAGGTTTATCTCTGTGGAGATGAAAAATTAATTTCCTTAAACTGTATTGCGCATAACTTACATAAAACATTTTTGTAATATGTTATATATTTCAAGTTAAGGATGTTCGCTCCTCTTATTTTTTTTCAATTTTTGCCAGATATTCATAATACTCTAGTTTTATCCCTGTAATGCCATTAAAATTTTTCCCCGCTAACTTTTCTTTTCAGAATTTTATTACATAAAGTTTTTAAAAAAGTCATATTTGAAAATTCTATAAAATTCTTGTTATTTTTTTTATAGTTTTTGAAAGAAAAAAGGTGCCAATGTTAAATGTATGAAAAGTTTAGAGAGAATCGATTCCTACCAAATTTTCAATGGCTTATATCTCGAAAACTAGCGCACGGACCCTTCATTTTTTTCTGCTTTTTCAGATCCTTTATTTCTTTACTATCAATTTATATCAGTCTTTTAAAAGCTTGTTATTTTGAAACAGAGTAGCGAACATCATAAATGAGCCTTCTCATGGGGTTTTTGATTATGTGATTACTTGGTCGTTTTTATAGTGATTATTAGATTTCCAGACAAAATATTTCATGATTATTTGATAATCTAGGACTGTATTTTTTTTATCATTTGATTATCTTGTTTCAAAAGTAATTAATGATTATGTGATTATATTGGCAAAAAAAAATGTGATTATGTGATTACTTGGATATCCCCGTGAGGGGCCTCCTAAATCACACTTTATTGTCAACATTAGTGTGTTTTACCTTATACCCAACAGCATCCTTAAGTGGATTATTTACTATTTTCTCGTCGTGTATCTCTGTAGTTACTATTTCTATAAAAGAAAAAAAAAGACATGTAAGTAACCATGGTAACGCATAATTTATAATTCGATTCGCTTATTAAGCAATTATTGATTTACACATATTTCCATTCATGTCACGTGAAGCGGTTTAAACACACACTTGAATGTTTTGCCTATAATCGAAGACACCAAAAAGCAACATTATGCTTTTTGTAATGAACGATGTTTTATTATCCGTTTTTCCTATCAGTGACGGGTTTTCTATCTGTTGGTGACACAAAACTGTGAATCACGTACATCAACAGACAATCTATTAATTACCTTTCGACATCATAAACAAAGCAAACTTAAAGTACAGTCGTTATGGTTATGTTTCCAACAAATTGTGATTTTTCAATGCTATTTTTCGAATCAATGTATATGAGGGTTGTAAAGGGTTAATTTCGTGCAACGTTTTCGGCCTTTTTATTTCACGTGTTTTCGTGTTTTTGGGTCCTCTATGCTCTTCAACTTTGTACTTGTTTGGCTTTATAACTATTTTGATCTGAGCGTCACTGAGACGAAACGCGCGTCTGGCGTATTAAATTATAATCCTGGTACCTTTGATAACTATTTGACGTTTTATTTATCATTTTCTCGTGTTTGGTTCGATGTGCGTGCTTCGTGTTTCCGTGTTTCGTGTCGGTACTCTTTATTTCTCGCGCTTGTCCCGCATTTGATTAAAAAGTTTTGCAATTCTATTATATATGTATGGTATGCCGAAGTTATAAAGTCCATCAAATTACTATGAATAATATTTTTTTTTTCAAATCAGATGCAACTAGCGGACGCTAAAAGGTGACCACAGCATCTTCATGTCCATTAATAATGACTGCATGATCTCCAAGAACAGCTGAATAATAACTTCTAGTACTTTTTTCCTTAATATTTACTTCATGTATTTTATTTCTCGTGCGTCGTTTTTTCCTGATTTTTATTTTACCGTGCAACATTTTTACGATTTTTATTGCACGTGTTTCCGTGTTCAGACCCCCCCCCCCCCCTCCTTTTACCGCCCTCGTATATGTACCTTTATCTTTCATAAGAGTTCCCTTGTATGCATCTCCCTCCAGGTCAACCTCTACATCTTCTCCCTCGTATTCATCTCCTTTAAGGTCATTCATTACATCTGTCATAAGTGATCCCTGTGTTTCGTCTCCTTTGATGTCATTCACTGCATCTTTCATGAGAGCTCTCTTGTTTTCATCTCCTTTGAGGTTATCATCTACATCTTTCATGAGAGCTCTCTGGTTTTCATCTCCTTTGAGGTTATTCTCTTCATCTTTCATGAGATCTCCCTGGGTTTCATCTCCTTTGAGTTTATTCTCTACATCTTTCATGAGATTTCCCTTGTATTCATCTCCTTTGAGGTTATCATCTACATCTTTCATGAGAGCTCCTTGGTATTCATCTCCTTTGAGGTAAGTTCCTTCATCTTTCATGATAACTCCCTGGTTTTCATTTCCTTTGAGTTCATCCTCAATATCTTTCATGAGAGCTCCTTTGTATTCCTCTCCTTTGAGATTATTCCCTTCATCTTTCATGAGATCTCCCTGGGTTTCATCTCCTTTGAGTTTATTCTCTACATCTTTCATGAGATCTCCCTTGTATTCATCTCCTTTGAGTTTATCCTCTATATCTTTCATGAGAGCTCTCTGGTTTTCATCTCCTTTGAGATTATTTCCTTCATCTTTCATCGGGGCTCCCTGGTATTCATCTCCTTTAAGGTTATTTCCTTCATCTTTCATGAGATCTCCCTGATATTCATCTCCTTTAAGGTTATTTCCTTTATCTTTCATAGGGGCTCCCTGGTATTCATCTCCTTTGAGTTTATTCCTTTCATCTTTCATGAGAGCTCCCTGGTTTTCATCTTTTTTTAGGTTATTCTCTACATCTTTCATGAGATCCCTCTGGTATTCATCTCCTTTTTGTTTATTCTCTACATCTTTCATGAGATCTCCCTGGTATTCATCTCCTTTGAGTTCATTCTCTACATCTTTCATGAAAGTTCCCTGGTATTCATATCCTTTGAGTTCGTTATCTACATCTTTCATGAGATCTCCCGGGTTTTTATCTCCTGTGATATTATCCTCTACATCTGTCATGAGAGTTCCCTGGTATTCACCTCCCTCGTATTCCTCTCCTCTAAGGTAATTCCTTTCATCTTTCATGAGATCTCCCTGGTATTCATCTCCTTTTAGTTCATTCTCTGCATCTTTCATGAGATCACCCTGGGTTTCATCTCCTATGAGTTTATTCTCTACATCTTTCATGAGATCTCCCTGGTATTCATCTCCTTTGAGTTCATTATCTACATCTTTCATGAGAGCTCCATGTGTTTCATCTCCTTTGAGGTTATTCCCTTCATCTTTCATGAGATCTCCCTGGTTTTCATTTCTTTTGAGGTTATCCTCTACATCTGTCATGAGAGTTCCCTGGTATTTACCTCCCTCGTATTCCTCTCCTTTAAGGTTATTCCTTTCGTCTTTCATGAGAGGTCCCTGGGTTTCATCTCCTTTGAGTTCATTCTCTACATCTTTTTTGACAGTTCCCTGGATTTCATTTCCTTTCAGTTCATTCTCTACATCATTCATGAGAGGTCCCTGGGTTTCATCTCCTTTGAGTTCATTCTCTACATCTTTTTTGACAGTTCCCTGGAGTTCATTTCCTTTCAGTTCATTCTCTACATCATTCACGAGAGCTCCCTGGGTTTCATCTCCTTTGAGTTCATTCTCTACATCTTTTTTGACAGTTCCCTGGAGTTCATTTCTTTTCAGTTCATTCTCTACATCATTCATGAGAGCTCCCTGGGTTTCAGCTCCTTTGAGTTCATTCTCTACATCTTTTTTGACAGTTCCCTGGAGTTCATTTCCTTTCAGTTCATTCTCTACGTCATTCACGAGAGGTCCCTGGGTTTCATCTCCTTTAAGTTCATTCTCTACATCTTTTTTGACAGTTCCCTGGAGTTCATTTCCTTTCAGTTCATTCTCTACGTCATTCATGAGAGGTCCCTGGGTTTCATCTCCTTTGAGTTCATTCTCTACATCTTTTTTGACAGTTCCCTGGAGTTCATTTCTTTTCAGTTCATTCTCTACATCATTCATGAGAGCTCCCTGGGTTTCAGCTCCTTTGAGTTCATTCTCTACATCTTTTTTGACAGTTCCCTGGAGTTCATTTCCTTTCAGTTCATTCTCTACGTCATTCACGAGAGGTCCCTGGGTTTCATCTCCTTTAAGTTCATTCTCTACATCTTTTTTGACAGTTCCCTGGAGTTCATTTCCTTTCAGTTCATTCTCTACGTCATTCATGAGAGGTCCCTGGGTTTCATCTCCTTTGAGTTCATTCTCTACATCTTTTTTGACAGTTCCCTGGAGTTCATTTCCTTTCAGTTCATTCTCTACATCTTTCATAAGATCTCCCTGGTATTCATCTCCTTTGTGTTTATTCTCTACATCTTTCATGAGATCTCCTTGGGTTTCATCTCCTTTGAGTTCATTCTCTACATCTTTCATGAGATCTCCCTGGTTTTCACCTCCTTTGAGGTTATTTCCTTTATCTTTTATAATGGCTCCCTGGTATTCATCTCCTTTGAGTTTATTCCTTTCATCTTTCATGAGATCTCCCTGGTATTCATCTCCTTTGTGTTTATTCTCTACATCTTTCATGAGATCTCCCTGGTATTCATCTCCTTTGGGTTCATTATCTACATCTTTCATGAGAGCTCCATGTGTTTCATCTCCTTTGAGGTTATTCCCTTCATCTTTCATGAGATCTCCCTGGTTTTCATTTCTTTTGAGGTTATCCTCTACATCTGTCATGAGAGTTCCCTGGTATTTACCTCCCTCGTATTCCTCTCCTTTAAGGTTATTCCTTTCGTCTTTCATGAGAGGTCCCTGGGTTTCATCTCCTTTGAGTTCATTCTCTACACCTTTTTTGACAGTTCCCTGGAGTTCATTTCCTTTCAGTTCATTCTCTACATCATTCATGAGAGGTCCCTGGGTTTCATCTCCTTTGAGTTCATTCTCTACATCTTTTTTGACAGTTCCCTGGAGTTCATTTCCTTTCAGTTCATTCTCTACGTCATTCATGAGAGGTCCCTGGGTTTCATCTCCTTTGAGTTCATTCTCTACATCTTTTTTGACAGTTCCCTGGAGTTCATTTCCTTTCAGTTCATTCTCTACGTCATTCATGAGAGGTCCCTGGGTTTCATCTCCTTTGAGTTCATTCTCTACATCTTTTTTGACAGTTCCCTGGAGTTCATTTCCTTTCAGTTCATTCTCTACATCATTCATGAGAGCTCCCTGGGTTTCATCTCCTTTGAGTTCATTCTCTACATCTTTTTTGACAGTTCCCTGGAGTTCATTTCCTTTCAGTTCATTCTCTACATCATTCATGGGAGCTCCGTGGGTTTCATCTCCTTTGAGTTCATTCTCTACATCTTTTTTGACAGTTCCCTGGAGTTCATTTCCTTTCAGTTCATTCTCTACATCATTCACGAGAGCTCCCTGGGTTTCATCTCCTTTGAGTTCATTCTCTACATCTTTTTTGACAGTTCCCTGGAGTTCATTTCCTTTCAGTTCATTCTCTACATCTTTCATGAGAGCACCCTTGGTTTCATCTCCTTTGAGGTTATCATCTACGTCTGTCATGACAGTTCCCTGGTATTCATCTCCCTCATATCCCTCTCCTTTAAGGTTATTCTCTTCATCTTTCATAAGAGCTTCCAGGTTTTCGTCTCCTTTGAGTTTATTCTCTTTATCTTTCGTAAGAGCTCCTTGGTATTCATCTCCTTTAAGGTTATTCTCGACATCTTTCATGAAACCTTCCTGGTAATTATTACCTTTGATGTCATCCTCTACATCTTTCATGAGAGCTCCCTGGTTTTCATCTCCTTTGATATCATTCTCTATATTTTTCATGAGAGCTCCCGGGTTTTCGTCGCCTTTGAGGTTAATCTCTACATCTTTCATGAGAGCTCCCGGGTTTTTATCTCCTTTGATATCATTCTCTATATTTTTCATGAGAGCTCCCTGGGTTTCATTTCTTTTGAGGTTATCCTCTTCATATTTCATGAGAACTCCCTGGTTTTCATTTCCTTTGAGGTTATCCTCTGCATCTTTCATCTGTTTTTTTAATTTATCTGGAAAAGTGTATATGAAAAGTAAGAGACCATGATTACTGATAAATAAACATAGATGGATCTTCACGTGACAAACTTTAAAAGGCAAACTATATTTTGTGTATTTGTTAAATAATGGCGTTATAATATTCGACGCTCTAAAGGAAAACAATACATATAAAAAAATTGCCAACGAGGCAACTATCCACAAAAGTTAAAATGAAGTGGATGTAAGCAAATATAGGCAACTTAGAGAACTAACGCCTTAATTTATAACATACTAGTAACTATATACGATAAACACATATAACAAATTTCGCCCAGTTCACGATAAATAGTGAAGCTGCTTACTTTAATACTTATTGACTGGTTATGAGTGAAATTTTAAGTTTATTGTCCGCGAGGTGCAACTATTGCCCCGAGGCGTCGCCTAGGTCAATAGTTGTGTCCAAGGGGACTATAAACTTACTATTTCACGAATATCCAGTCAGTAAAGGGGGCCTCGGTGGCAGAGTGGTCTAAGTAGTTACTACTGTAATCACTAGCCAGTCAACACTGAGGTTGTGAGTTCGAACCCCGCTCGTGCGGGTGCAGTCGACTCCAATCTTAATTGACTAGGATTGTCAGTTTTCCTATCGAAGGTCTGTGGTTTTCTCAGGGCACTCCTGCTTCCTTCACCAATAAAAACTGGCCGCCACGAAATAGCCCAAAAGCGGTGTTTAAAAGTTGCGTTAAAACACAAAAAATCAAAATCAAAATCCAGTCAGTAAGTGTTTTATTATACCAAAAGAGACAACAGACAATTAATGTCAAGCTAAATTAACTATCATAATGTAATTGAAGTACTGAATATCGGATGACCGCCAGTTCTGGTGGATGGTCACAAGAAAAAAAAATCACATCTCTATACCTAAAAGTTAGGTTAAGGTACATAGATATATTTTTTACTGAGACAAGTTCCTGTGTGTATGATGCATAAATGACAGGGAATTCAACCTCACCGTAATAACTATTATATTGTAGTAGTGATATAATCATTTGTTATCAGTATACTCTGGTTTGTTGTTATATATTATATTAATATTTGTATAACAGGTTTATATAATTTTCATCCATTTGTATATCATTCTATTCTACTCTTCTAATGATAGTGCAGTGCAAGTGCATGGTGGACACTCTTCTGTAATAATTCGTTTTCTAATAGATTGGATTTGAGTAGGCATTCATATTTTCCCGCGTTTGTTGCAAAACGTTCTTGAGATATTCTTCCGCATGCGTTAACACAAATTTTCGGTATTCTTGATTTGTTATTGATAAATATATATTTCTCACGACAAAACATTTTCATATCATTTATCTATGTCCTTAAAAATTACAAATGAAGTAAAACGCCCCCTGTCCGTAGTGCTAGTAACTTTAAAAAGGAACCATTTCATTTCACTTGTTCATATTGTGTTGGAGGTTAAATGTGTTCTTTTTTTCTTTTATGGATAAAGGTCTATCTAACTAAATAGTTGTTAAATTTTTTTGTTTACTTTAGAATTGAAAAAAATGAGATTCATCCTCTATTGCATTACAATTATTACAAAGTTTAAGATATAAGTAGTTCGTAAAATTATAGTGTGCAATCACATAAATGAGTTCATAAATCATTCATTTGTAATTGATCTTCTATTAACATATCATTGCGTTACAATTTTTTTGCTTATCTAAAAGACTATGTACCATTAATTTAACATCTTGATGCATTTAATAAACTAAAACACATTCTAAACCCCATCCCTGAACTTGTTTGTCATATTGGAGTCTTTATTAAACAGTCTTTAGAACTGAGGGGGTCAGACCCATGTCAGACAAGCTTATGATTGTGTTTTTTACATAAATTTAAAATTGAACTCTTAAAATAAGTTCTATTATATTGTATTGTATTACATTGTATTGCATTGTATTTAAAATGTATAATTGTTTGTATTGCTTGACCCTTATGGGTGTAATTTTGCAATAAAGATATAAAGATATTATTAAAAAACCATAAAATAGTCATCCCTCTCCCATGCACGCAGAGACTTTTTTGTCTTCTTTTATATAAAGAGGTCCCTGTAGGGTTAGGTTAGAGCTTTTTCTATGTAAGATTAAGGGCTAGGTTAGGGCTTTTTCTATATTAGATTTAGAGTTAGGCTAGGGCTTTTTCTATGTTAGATTTATGTTGAGGGATAGGGCTAGTGTATGGTTTATGTACGGATACGATTTAGGGTAAGGGTACGAGTAAGTGTTAGGTAAGGGTAAGAGTAAGTGTTACGTACGGGTAAGGGTAAGAGTAAGAGTAAGTGTTAGGTACGGGTAAGGGTAAGGGTTAAGGTAAGTGTTAGGTACGGGTAAGGTCAAGGTTTAGGTTCAGGGTTAGGGTTAGTTAAAATATAATTCTACATGGGTTCGGAATCTAAAGTAAAAAAAAGTTCTTTGAAAATCTTTTTTTTTTTCTCATTTACATACCTAGTTCCATCTTTAAAGCGGTTTCCTTTTCTTCCACGGCCTGTACGTATGCCTCAACTTTTTCCCAATCTTTAAGGGTAAATTGAGATGTAGCTACATTGAGAAGGACATCGCAAAACTTTGACACAGCCTGCTGTTCCGATGACCCGTCCATATTTAGCCTATAAAGAAACGAGATTTTGTTTTAAAAATGTTGAAATTAAATTATCTACGAGACTAATTGATAAATGAGGATTTTTGTTGTAATTTTTACTTTGTAACTTTTACTCATCTGGTCAGGAACAAAAAAAGAAAACACAGGAGGCCTGAGTTCTAAAATATATTCTAATCCGCCCCAGCTTTCCGAGTCAGGAACCTCTTCAGTTATCTTTTGTTTTCCTCAAAATAAATTGTAGGTGAAGGTAGATCTTTGGTAGTCTTTACTCAAATTTCTCACAACGTTTCAAGATTGCAGGCGTTTTAAATAGAGTTCGACATTATGGTATATATACTTCTCTTTAGGGAGCAGATTCACAGATTTTTTTCTTTTCATTCATATTTCAGAAAGCAATAACAAAAAATAACTTACCACAAGGACCTTTCCGTTACTCCAATCTCTAAAAAGCTGCACAGAATAAATTTATTGATAGTCGAAAAAAAATCCTGCTACGGTGAATCGACGAAACTTCGACGATAACGTTGTCATCGGTGATGTTTATGACGTCGAGGGTGTGATCAGCACAGTCCGTTATCGGTGATGTTTATGACGTCAAACGTGTGATCAGCGCAGTTGGTTATCGGTGATGTTTATGACGTCAAAAGTGTGATCAGCGCAGTTGGTTATCGGTGATGTTTATGACATGGAGAATGTGACTAGCGCAGTCGCAAATTCCTTAACTACAAGCCATTAAACCCGTTTCGGACCAAAATATAATACTGTAACTCTATGGTTTTATTGAATATTTTCTAGAATCGACGGAATCTGTTTAAAGTATATAATCTCATCACAGTTCCAGTCATTGTGGAGTCCTATTTTTAATTGCTATCTTTTAGCATGCGCAAAAGGGGAGGGGGGGCATTACTAAGAGACAATGCAAGCGTACCAGGCGGTAGTGTTCAACGAAAAAAAAAATGATAAAAAATATGATTTACCAACTCAGTATAACAAACTGACTAGGAATTATACTTTTCTAATATTTTGTTTGCAAATTTGACATTTTTATGCCCCACCTAGGGGCATTATGATTTTCGGTCTGTGCGTCCGTTCATTTGTCCGTCCGTCCGTTCGTCCGTCCGTCCGTCCGTCCGTCCGTCCGTTCGTCCGTCTGTCCCGCTTCAGGTTAAAGTTTTTGGTTAAGACAGTTTTTGATGATGTTGAAGTCCAATCAATTTGAAACTTAGTACACATGTACCCTTTGGTATGATCTTTCTAATTTTAATGCCAAATTAGAATGTTGATCCCAATTTCACGGTCCACTGAACATAGAAAAATGACAGTGCGAGGGGGGCATCCGTATACTATGGACACATTCTTGTTTTAATGTAATTCAAGAGCTCAAATATTGAATTTTCAATGAAATGTATGGAGAAAAAGCCAGTTTCTATCAGGGTTTTTTATTGTCCATGATCGGCAGAAAACAAAACTAATGACTGAACTACCTAGTACTACTGATAGATTATTAAGTCAGGTATTCTTTATTTTATTCTTAATTCTTTATTCGAAGACACAAATACTCGTAGTTGGTATGGAAGTTTGGCTGTACCTGTAGATACATTATTGCTTGCTAATCTTATTCAAAACGGTATAATTACAACAAACGAGATATCCCATCATAAAGTTTAAGGAGATGTTGTTAATAGAGCTCATACATTTAAGTACAACCCATGTGCAAAACCGTTTTGTATGTTCTGATTGATATTTTGGAGAACATTTATTTATTATTAATTGAAATTGGATTGAACCAGATTTTAGAATCTGCGAGTATGCTCTTTGGTCCATTTTGTGGAGTATTTTTTCATTGTTTGTCTTTTTGTTGTGTTTTATTTTTAGGGGGCTCTTCGTGCCGATCTGAGGGGTCAATCACTTTCCAATTGGTTTGTTTTTTTACAGTCAGTTCGTATATAAGTTGTGCAGTTACACCATTGTCCCATCTTAGTGTTTGGATCGATATCTGTCAACACGTTTAACTCCGCCATTTCATTTTATGTTCCTATCTCAAGTTAGGACGCAATAATTTACTGGTTGAACTTGGTTGCCATCTGCCAAAGCTGTTTTTTTCTTTTATTGTTAACATAAACTCGACCTTTGAATATTTTATTATTTTTCATTTCGGTGTACTAAAAAGGGACAGTAGCTACCAATTGGACAAACAATTGAAATATGACTTTTTGTGTCAAACATTTACAAAAGCGGGATATAAAAATAATAGTTTGCTATAAGCAGTCAGTTTGGTTCAATTTCGTCAAAATAAACGTGAAAGACAATGACTCAACCTCATGTGAAGCCGTATTCATTCAACCTTCGATCTACTC